ATTTTGCATCTTCTCTAGACGCCAAGCTATTACCCAAGATGCCAGGCAAGAGCAGAGCTGCTTACCAGGCTGCCTGATGGCAGGAGCTGGCGCTGGTGGGTTCTGTGGGTCTGTCTGCATCTGTCAAGCTTTGGGGAATTCTGTCCTGGATTCTGGCTCACAGGAAGTTAGATAAGCCAGGGATATCAGAGGCAACTGTATTCCACTTCTCATTTCAGGACTGAGAAAACGGAGGTCTGAAGAGGTGACCAGCAAGCCATCAGTGAGGGGAAGCTGACCCTGCTGTGGGGGCCAGGCTTCAGGCCTACCGGTCTACCCTCAGAAGATTCACTAGAATGAATTGCAAATACAGAGTAAGGGTCGGGGGTAGATTAACAGAAACATATTCCCTGTACTCACTGGAGGCCATCAGCTGTAAATGGTGTGATTCTGCCAGGCCAGCTGGTCAGGGGAATTTACGACCTTTCCTTATGAGGGAGGACAGGAATGTAAATTATACACGACTTTTTGTTGTTGTTTTTGAGACAGAATCTCACCTCATAGCCCTGGCTGTCCTGGAATCACTCTACAGACGAGGACCTGCCTTCGATCCTGAGTGCTGGGCTCAAAGGTATGTGCCACCATACTCAGCTAGAACGTACCTAACTTTCAGGAGAAGTGAGTAAATGTTCATTCTCGTAAGCTTTAGGGAAACTGGAGGGACTTGGAGAAGTTATGGTGACTTGGAACAAAGCTGGTTAGGTCTGCAGAACAGACAACAGTTTGGTCTTCTCCATGGGACCAAAACAGAGTGTGTGTGTGACAACAGTTGGTGTATTGACAATCAGCTTGTGTCACCATTATCTGGGCATAGCCATCTCTGGTTAATGGGGTCTGAGTCAGAAGATGGGATGTTCCAAGTGCTGTGGAACAATCTTTTTTTACACTATGAATATGTATTAATAATGGTTAATAAAAAGCTGACAGGCAGATATCTGATATGCCACCCATAGGTTGAGAACCAAAAAAAGCTGACGGGCAGGAAGTTAGGCGGCAAAACCAAACTGAGAAAGCTGGGAAGGAGAAGGGTGGAGTCAGGAGTCATAGCCAGATGCAGAGGAAGCAAGATGAGAATGGTACCAAGCCATGTGGCTAAACATAGATAAGAATTAATTAATTAGCTAATTAATTAATTAAGCACAGATAAGAGTTAATTTAAGTGTAAGAGCTAGTTAGTAATAAGCCTGAGCTACTGGCCAAGCATTTATAAGTAATACTAAGCCTGAGTGGTTTTGGGGGAACTAGCAGGCAGGAGAGAACCCTCCATTTACAGCCAAGCTCCTCTCTTGGCAGATTACTCAGGTACTCTCTGAAGAAATCTTTTTACTGCTCTGGAAAGGAGAGAGGCAAGGCATGGTGGGAGGGACCCTGATTGGGAAGTCCCTTATGGTGTCTCTTAGCTTCCTGAGCCCTGGCACAACCATTGCTTTCTTCCATAAGATTCTGTCCAGATGGATAAAGAGAGACCCAAGATTCCCCTGGCCCAGAATGTTTCAGCTCTGAATCCTTGATTCTTCTCTAGTCCTGGGAAATGTGGGTGGATAGTTGCTCATTCCACAGGACACTTGTAGTGCTGCTGAAAAATAAGTCCAGGGGGTGTTTCTGAAGTAGGTAGGTTGTGTTGTTTGAAGCCAAAGGCGGATCCTCCATTTTTCCTTATACTTGACACCTCATGGCTGTGAGGTGACTGCCACACAGCACTTGATGCTACGTTTTTACACAGCAGTGTCCGGAAAGGAGAGAGAGTCCAAACCTTGCTGCACAGTTCTCCTTAGATCCCACAGGTCAGAATCAGTTGGACCAACCCCTGGCAAAGCAGAAGGGTTTGTCTGATCGATTTAGGCCAGATGGGATTCAGCCGAGAAAGGCAGATGACTGCCAAGAACCTCAGTCAGTGCCCACGCAGCTCTTGCTCCTGGTGGTGAGAGCATTGAGCAGTCTGCAGGAGGCAAGGTGCCTGCATTTCTCACGGGAGCAACGAAGCATAGGTTGTAAACTAGAAGCAATTTAGTTGTTGCTAAGAACTGATTCTTTCTCTCTAAATCTTGTCATGGTTCCTCCAGCCTCCCCAGCTGATGTGTTTTGCAAAGCACATTGATGAAAAGTGGCGTTTTCTACCAGCGGTCTTTGAAGTTACCTGCAGAAGTAAGCATGGTATTTCACATAGGAACAGGAGTCTCCAAACACAGGGCATGGTGGCCATGGACTTGTAGCTCACATGTTAGGTAGAATTAAACTAGCTTCTCAGAGAAGAAACTGGCTGGGCAAGAGACTCACGAGTGACAGGAAAGAGCAGTCAGCCTGCCTGGGCCTAGAAGGTGCCCCTCAGGGGCTGTGGAAATGTGTATTTAGATCCTTGGGCCCTTTAAAACATTGTATATTTGTCCTTTTGCTATTGATTGGTTAGAGTTTTTTAATATATGCAGGATACTAGACTCATCAGATATGGGATCTGGAGAGAATTTATCCTATTTTGTAGGTTGCCATTAGTGTGTGTGTGTGTGTGTGTGTGTGTGTGTGTGTGTGTGTGTGTGTTGGAGCATGCCACAGTGTGCATGTGGATTCACAGGACAACTTTGTGGAGTCAGTTCTCTCTTTCCATGCTGACTTGGGTTCTGGGGTTTGAATGCAGTTCATCGGGCCATGTAACAAGTGCCTTTACCCATGGAGCCATCTCCCTGGCCCCCTGGTTTTCCTTTCTTTCTTCCTCTTTAACAAGATTCTTGTGGCTGCTCTCAGTCCCTTATATAAGCATTTCAAGATTCATTTGTCAGTTTCTTCAAAGAAGTACGGCTAACTACAGTGGCATATTCCTGTCTGGAGGGTTCAGAGTTCAAGGGCCTCCCCAGCCACATAGTAAGTTTTTGGCTAGCCTGGGCTACATAGACCCTGTCTCAAAAATAAGAACTAATAAAGGAGACAGATTTTATTGACTCCACAGGTTGATGCTGGTGCTTTCGGTTTATTTTGAGGCAGGGTCTCTCATAGAATTCCATTCTTCTCAAGATGAAATCCCACGATTCCCTCCTGTTGGCTGAACAACATTCCATAACCACTAACTACTGTCACCCTCCCGGGCCGTGAGTCCAGTTCCAATCCTAGCCTGCTCCTACAGGTCAGAAAGTCATTTCAAACGAACCTCGTAGAAAAGGAGAGATGGTTGGTGAGTCAAGGGTCACTTCGGGATAGGGACTTAGGGGTGGGGAGAGAGGACTGGGGTGTGGGGGGGCTCGAGCAGGTGGGTGACTGGTGACATGGAGACACAGAGACTGGGCCCTCCAGTAGTCTGATTCTGGGGAGGTCTGCTGAGGAAGGCGGAGGAGCTCTGTAGGGGAGATGGACACGCAGGCGCAGAAGAGGCTGCTCGACTTGAGCATGGATACAAGCACACTGGAGCCACTCCCAGGAGCCCTCCATCCGCTCTGCCAGTCTTCTCTTTGTTCCTAATGCTCTGGTCCTTGCTCAGAGATGCCCTGGGGCTGGTGCCACAGCTCCTCCAGCACTCCACCCCGGTGGGCAAAGCCTTCTCCATCCAGGCCTTCTATTCTCCACTCTCCTGGGCATGGCTGTCTTTAAGCAAGGTCGACGACCCCCTCCCCAGCCCGCTGCCCCATTTGACTCCCTACCCCTTACTACCAAAAGCCACCTCTCCAGGAAGTCTCTTTCCTCCTGCCATTTCAAGCACGGTACCCATTATCTGACCTCTCTGAGGTCCCAGCTTGTCATCTCTGTCAAGAGGCAGAAGTCAGTGTCAGGTTCTGTGTGAAGGTGGAGCAGATGCTATCAAAACTCAGATGACCAGGGCATAGGACCTGTGGATTGGCCAGTATTTTGTAGGAAACATACACAAATATATAAGGTATTTTTTAAAAATAAGGTTTTTCTCCACATGGAAAATAGAAAGAAAAAAATCCTTAAAATAACCAGTTAGAATGTTATTTTATGTTATGTTTAAGAACTCCGTGTTCTTTGGTGACTTTCTTGTCTATGTTAGGATCCTGGCAGACAATGCCGTCCATATGTGTGGGCCCGTGGGGGATTTGCTGTTACTATTACAGCTAACCCTGAAATGTAATTTATATACCATACAATCCAGCCATGTAAAAGGTGCAATTCAATGCACCTCTTCCCCTTCTAATCCCCACGCACTAATACAGAAAGAAAGTTCAGCATTCACGTTAAAAAAATTCCATTACCCCCCAAAGAAACTGTTTAGCAGCCACCCGTATTTTGGTTTGGCTTAACAGTGTTTTCAGTCATCTTTGTCGTGTGGACAATCTCCTTAACCATCCTGGCTGGTGTCTACAGGTTGCGGCTTCTGCAGAGGCAAAAGGCACAACTCGCGGTGTTCTAGGATTGAACGCTCCAGACACAGAGGAGCAGCTAGGGCCCGCCAGGAGCGAGGTATGGGGGGAGCAGGCGGCGGAGGGCCCTGGGGGCTTCTTGCAGGTGGGAGGAAGGACGGGTCACCGCAGGTGTGGGCGTTCAGCACCCTTCCTGGGGTGGGTGAGGGACGCAGAGTCTGGAAAGGGGTGGCGGCGCAAGTGAGTTTGCGAGCGCAGGGCTGAGCAGGCGAGCACCCCCGGCAGGCAGCGGTGGCCTCGGGGACCGGTGGACTAGCGGCCGCGCCGGGAGTGCAGCGCCGAGAGGGAGCCCGGGCCGGACCTGGGGGGCAGCTCGGGTGTGGCGGGGTCTGCAGGCCCCGCAGGGCAGTCGGCCCAGGGCCCAGTCGCAGCTCGGGATCGGGACTGGGTAAAGGCTAGGACCTCGCGCCAAGGTGGGAGTTGGAGAAGCCTTGAAGTGTGTTTTCCGTGTGCCCCCGCCCGAGGGCAATTTAGGGAATTCGTTCTTCCCGGAGCTAACCAGCAGCTAGAGCGCCGATCCGGGTAGAAGGGCGGGACTAAGGCGGGCTCTTGGCAGGCGGCCAGGGGGCGCCACCCCCGCAAGGCCACGCCCCTGAAGGCCACGCCCCCGCACCCGTCCGGAGCGCACGGACTAGGAGGCTTAGACCCGGCTCCAGACGCGCGGTCTAGGCGCTGAGGCCATGCCTGGCGGCGCCGTAGTGACTGTCCTGCGACCCGCGCAGCTCCGGTAGACCAAGCCCCGGGCCCGGCTGGCCCGGCCATGCAGCTGGAGACGCAGGACGCGCTGTACGTGGCACTGGAACTGGTCATCGCCGCTCTGGCGGTGGCGGGCAACGTGCTGGTGTGCGCCGCGGTGGGCGCCTCGAGTGCTTTGCAGACTCCCACCAACTACTTCTTGGTGTCTCTGGCGGCGGCCGACGTGGCCGTGGGACTCTTCGCCATCCCCTTCGCCATCACCATCAGCCTGGGTTTCTGCACGGACTTCTACAGCTGCCTCTTCCTCGCCAGCTTCGTGCTGGTGCTCACACAGAGCTCCATCTTCAGTCTCTTGGCCGTGGCAGTCGACAGGTATCTGGCCATTCTCGTCCCGCTCAGGTGAGACAAATCTTCCCAGCCCGGGCCGGTTTAGAGTTCTACAGAGGGACACCCAGTCCAGGCCCACGGTTCTACCTTCTGGGACCTCAGATGGGCCAGATTAGGAGTACACTAGGCATTCGGAGAGGTTCTGGCGTGGAGGATGCCAACCACCTCCTTCGATGCATGTTCCACTGCGGGTTGTTGAGACCCTCCTGGAGCGGCAGAACAGGCCACCGGCTGGGCGCCTCTTAGGTGTCAGGGATGCTCCAGTCACTCCCAGCTTAGGGGATCTAAATAAGGACACCCTTGGGGACTCTTTGGAAGTGCCCGCCACAGGCTCAGAAAGCTCAAGCTCGGGAAGGTTTGGTGATTGCGTCTCCACCCTCGTGAGGAAAGAAAGATGCACCTTCCCAGCCCTCTTAGCCCCGCACGGGGATCAGAGCAGCTGCCAAGCGCCGTCCTGTGCGTAATGGGCCGGGAAAAACTTCAACTAAGAGCAAGGCAACTTTGGACGCTGGGAATTGGTACTGTTGTAAGGCACACGGTACTAACGACCCAGCTTTAGAAGGTACCTACTTCGAAATGAGGCGGCTAGGCAGATCTAAGGAAAAGGTGCCGCTTAACTTTGGTGGGGAACTCTAGGAGCGTTGGTCCCTACTAGCTCCGCAGTGACTCAGATTACTCCCAGACATTTTAAAGAGCTACTGTACTTACTGGTTCACTGAACACCAACAAGCAGCCTTAGAGTCTCTAGCCCATTGTGTAACCTTATTTGTATACCGCTGCGGTGCCCGGCTGCCCGAAGAGGCCCTTTCTCCGAATGAATATGCCTAAGCCACTTTCTCCCATTTTCCACACGGAGACAACAGGATTCAGGGTAGGGAGCCAGTTAGTAGGGAACATGGCTCCTAGTTGCAGCTAATAAATTTAAAGTTGAGTTTGTTGATACTTGTTAGCGTGCCTGGGCCCTTTAGCGTTTCTGAGGTGAGCTTTGGATCTCTTTAGATTTGGAACTGAGATGAGGAAACCAAGTCCCGAGAGTAGGAAGAGAAAGGGAAGAATCCACTGAGTTCTGACTGGGACAGGCAACTCCAATTAAATGTACATGTTTTAATCCTCACCCTGTCCAGAGGACAGGTGCTGTTGCCTGCATCCTGAAGGTGAGGGGTGTGGCCCAGGGAGATGAGGGTCTGGTTCAGGATGCTGCGTGCTGGATGCGTGGCGGATGCGTGGCAGAGCCGTGACTCAAACTCAGAGCTGGCACTGTGCCTTCCCCGTGCCGTCCACCTGTCTCATAGGGCCAAGTACCCCACGAGTATTTGAGAAACGTGAAGAAGACCCTCTTGCTATTTCTAGAGGAGGGTCTTGTCTGCAGTAAGCTGGTGTTTGTAGGAGAAATGTGTTTGCGGAATTGATCAGCAGGAAGTTCCCACAAGCCCTTGTAATAGATGTGATGAGCCTGGTCCCTGTAGGTAGATGTCTTGGGTCCCCTGCCTCTGTGTGTGTGTGTGTGTGTGTGTGTGTGTGTGTGTGTGTGTGTGTTCCACACCCACTGCCCTTGGCATCTGACTAGGAGGCTTCACACATCCCACCAGGTGTCCTGTAGCCCAGGGACCCACACAGCCTTCTCTTCTCTCCATTCTTGCGGGTCTGTTCTTGTCTCTTACCTCCCATACTTGATGGCTTTTTGAACTTTTTTTTTTTCCGCCCCCATAGAGCAGAGCAGTCACATGTCCCCAGCTTTTGTTGTCTATCTAGGGGAAGCCCTTTGGGCTTGCCCCTGGCAGAGCCCCAAATACAGGGCAGCTCACCCAGGACCCACTCCAAGGATCTCTTGTGCCACGTGACCGGAGCAGGAAGTTCCATTAATGTTTAAATCTGTTAGTTCTTGTCCTGGGTTGTGCTGGGCGGGTCTTGAAGAAAGTGGGTGTGGGTGTCTTAAGGGGAAACAGATGTGAATCACAGGCTCTCTACTTCTCCTTTGCATTTGCTAAGAGTAGGGGGTGAAGAGGGGGGGACCAGTGCGTGAGGACCAGATGTGCTTCCACTGTGCACACACGCGGGCCTGTCCTCAGGAGTCTGGAAAGCTGCACAGCAGTATCCCATCCACACCCAGGCAGATAGGAGTATCTAACCTGCTACGACCCCAGCTCGCACTGTGGGAGGTTGAGACGCATCCTGGGTTCGAGTTCTCACCCTTCCCTGAGAAGTGGTGTGTGTGTGTGTGTGTGTGTGTGTGTGTGTGTGTTGGACCTCCTGCCCTCAGCAGTTCAAAGCACAACCCTATGGGAACAGGGAATGTAGGTTACTTTGAGCTGAGCTCTGTGGCAACATGGCTGTAGTTGAAGCTACTACTCAGGAAGGCTGAGGCAGGGGAATTGCTGGAGCCCAGGAGTTCACGGTTAATTTGGGCAAGAGCAAGACCTTTGGAAAAAAAATGCAGATTACAGGACCCAATTGGGTCTTGCTGAATCAGGGTCTGTGGGGTAGGTAGGGTGTATAAATGTCTCCAATGTTAATATCTACCCTGGGTCTGCTATGTATATCAAAAGTTAGAGCCCTCCAAATATCAGGCAGGTTTTGAAACTTGGCTTCTCTTGTTTATCACGGGCTGGGTCTGAATTACCCCAAACACTGAGTTGGTTCTGAGACCCTCCTTGGGGCCATGGAGCTACAGATGGGCATCAAGACGGAAGTACCCTGCTAAGGAGCCAGGCTAGGCATTCAGGAAGCCCCAGGCAGGAAGATAATCACCAGTTTGAGGCTAGCTTGGGGTTACATAGTGAGTTCTAGTCCCAAACCAGCCTGAGATACAGTGGGAGACCCTGTCTCAAAAAAAAAAAAAAAAAAAAAAAAAAAAAAAAAAAAAAAAAACAGCTAAAAAAAAAAAAAAAAAAAAAAGTGGTGAGGGATTAAGATCACATACTGCTCTTCCAGAGGACCAGATTTCAGTTCCCATCAACCCACATCAGGTTGGCTTACAACTACCTGTACTTTTAGCTCTGGGGAATTCAACACCCTCTTCTGGCCTCTTCAGATACCTACAATTGGGCACACACATTTAAAAATATAAAATAAAATAAAATAAACCAAATCCTTTTGTTTTTTTTCTTCAATATCCTGTTTAGGAGGTGGTGTGTCTCTCTCAGGAAGTCAAGCAGGTGATGCCCAGGGTACTAACAACGGAGTATGTGAGCATGGCATAATGCTTAGATCAGCACATCTCTTACCTGAGCAAAACAAACCCTTGACTCCATGGCTCTGATGGTGTCATGCTCTAGGAGCCCTGGCTCCCGTGGACGGGCCTTGATGCTCACTAACATGAAGGAGTGATATAGCCTGAGAAAGCCTACAGGTGGTGTTAGGCATAAACATGATCCTTTTGTGCTCATTCGAAAAAGAACAGACTGCTTGCGTTAGGCTGTGCCCTTTGCCCTTACAGTGAGGAGTGTCCACAGGCAGACAGGTCCTGCCTTCTGCACTGCTGGAGACTCCCATGCAGGGAACCTTCTGAAATGGGCTGTGCTGGGGATATGCAGAGTAGAGCTGAGGTGGAAGCTGGAGGCTGTGGGAGGTGAGCCACGACTCTGCCCATAGCAACCCCTGGCTCTCACTTCATCCTGTGGCTGCTTCCGCCTGGTGCCCACAGGAGTACTTCCTCCTGGCCTAGCCTAATCCTGTTCCCTTTTGTGCCACTCTGGGGGCCTTCCTTCCTTTACTCAGTGGACTCAGTTTCCCCTTTTACCATGGTTGACTCTCTGGAAGAGCTGACACGATTGTTTTTCTGGAGGTGCTGAAGGACAGTGTTTTGGAGGGAGATGTGTCTACTGGATAATGAAAGGGCCATGTGCGTCCTTCCTTTTGTTCTCTGCCACACACACTGTGTGTGTGTGTGTGTGTGTGTGTGTGTGTGTTTTACCATGTTCTGTCTGGAAGGTAGGAATGTATGTTCTAAGAACAGTGGGGGAAATAAAAAGGCAGGGGGAGGAGGGCCGGAGATGGCAGAGCCCTCTGGTAAGAGGAGAGAAGAGCTAGCCCGTCTGTTTCTAGAAACAAAGGCTAACGTGTCCATCTGCTCTGGAACCCCTGGGCACTGCAGGAGTTCACCGCCGTACCCAGCTGTTTCAATCCACTTGAATGGAGGAACCTGTGTCGTCAGAGATCCCTCACAGGCCTGCGCACGGATAGGGTGGTACAGGGCCTGGGGATGGTGGGAAAGCTAGGCCAGCAGCAGGTGCCACTGGCTGAGGGCAGGCAGCTACAGATTCTGGGGTGTGGCCTGCAGGTCCTGGCTCCGGCTTTAGGTGCTGGCCCAGAGTTACCCAGAAATGGGTGTTGCTTTGTCTTGTTTATCCTCCGTTGTTAGTACCCAGGGGGCTTTGCTCCATCTCCAGGCCTGGAGCACCCACCTTAAACCCAGCAGCAAGGACCACCGTCGGCTCTTGTCTGATCTCATGGCTCTGTTGCTGACAGGATCATGGCCAACATGGCAGGCAGCAGGTGGGATCGGGTAGGGGACTTCCTCAAGTCTATCTTAAAACCAGGCTGGAACGGAGGTCACACACTCAGGAGGACACCGGAAACTCCTGTCCTCAGGCTGCGAGAGAAGTCAGGCCTGAAGTAACCAGCCAGCCAGCAGGAGCGCATGGCAATGTCCAGGCGTGGGGTGATGGAGGGGAGGTTGACAGGCACTCCAGCTGTTCAGTTTCCCCTGAGGGGTGAGAGGAGACCGGTCCTTCTGCCCATCACAGGCTCTCTTCCCCCTTGAATGGAGTGGGGTGCAGAGCTGCACCCAAAATGCCACAGCCTGTAGCCACTGAGCTTGTCTGGAAGGACCATGGCCCAGGGGCAGCCATGCCAGGAAATGGTTTTGCACCTTAAACCACCATCTACATCCTGTTCTGAAAAGCACGGGTGCCGCCTGTGGCTGTCTGGAGAATGAACTGGTGGGAGGCTGTGATGGCTATTCTTGGTTGTCAACCTGACTACATCTGGAATTAATTAAAACTCAGGCAGCTGGGTACACCTGTGAGGGACTTTTTTCTCTCCTCTCCTCTCCTTTCCTCTTCTCTTCCTCCCTCCCCCACCCCCCGTTTTTAGAGACAGGGTTTCTCTGTGCAGCCCTGACTGTCCTGGAACTCTGTAGATCAAGCTGGCTTGGAATTCACAGAGATTCCCCTGCCTCTGCCTCCCAAAGGCATGCGCCACTGCCACCCAGCAAGGGACTTTTTCTTCTTCCTTCCTTCCTTTCCTTCTTTATTTTATTATTTTTTTTAAATAGATCTTGCCTCAAGTTTATTTGTAAAAACAACATAGGCCACTGATCATCTGCAAACAGTGTGTAGGTGTGTCATACCAGTCCATTTGTCTTCACATTGGCAGAGAGAAACCTTTTCTATGGGGCCTTCACAGGGGCCTGGGCACCTTTGGGAGCCTGAGCTGCAGCTGAGGCTTGGGCCTGGGCCTGAGCTGGAGCGGAGGCCTCTGCCTTGATTTGAACCTTGGGCTTTGGTTGGCAGAGCCTGTGACCCTTGGCCATGCAGCTTCTAATCCACTTCCCCAGCTCGGGGTGAGCGAAGAAAGCAAGACGGCTGAGCTCGCAGCCTGGGCCCGTTGGCAGCTTGGGCTTAGCTGCCTTGGGCTTCACAGGGGCTCTGACGGCCTCTGCACGCACCCACTGCCTTCACCCACTGCCTTCTTCACCCACTGCCTTCACCCACTGCCTTCACATCGCTGGCCTGCGTCTTCCTCAGGCCTTTCTTGGCTTCTTGGCAAAACGTCTGTTCCCCAGAGGTTCGCGTCATCTTTGTGACCGGGGTTTCTTAGTGCCGCTTCTGTGCCGTTCTCAGGACTGGTTGTGTGTGGCGTGGTTGTTGGACTTGGCCATGTCTGAATGGTAACCGGCAGCTCCCAAAGTGCCTGGGACCAAAAGAGAAAGAGCGAGGGACTTTCTCTTAATTAAATCATTTGAGGTGGGAAGATCCACCTTTAATCTAGCCACACTTTCTGCTGGCAGCCTATATAAAGGACATGGAAGAAGGAAGCTCGCTCTCTTTGCCTGCTTGCTCTCGCTGGCAAGTCCATTCCTTCACTGGCATTAGAGCCTACTTCTTGAGGATTCCAGCAAATGCTGAAGACCAGCTGAGACATCCAGCCTCGTGAACCGAACTACTCGATTCTTGACCACATATATATGATATTTATATATGTATAAATAACCCTCTATGTGTGTGTGTTCATTCTAAAAGTTCTGTTCCTGTAGAGAACCCCAAAAGGACAAAGGAAACAACATTTTCTCAAGACAGTCTGCATTCCTTCCACATGCACCAGGTCTGCAGCCTTGCGGGTCCTAACTCACAGTCACTGGCAGGACTGTCTCAGTGTCTCTTCTATCTGGCCTGTGACAGTATGAGTGTGCCCCGCCCAGAGGTGTTCAACACACGCCCTCAGTCATCTTGTACACTGGAGTTTTCCATTTGTGAACAGCAGCCACACTTTATTAAAGCCCTTTCTATATATGGGTGGGTTTACACCTTATATGCCTCCTCCTGGCTAGTCTTGAGAACTCTGCGGGGCAGGCACTTCAAAGATGAGGCCCAGAGTTGTCTAGCCTGGCATCACACAGAACATCTGGGCTGCATGAGCCTGCTTTCCTGGGAGCCCCAAAGAGCATGAAGATAGCCACAGGGAAAGAAGCCAGACATCCAGTGTTGCAGAATATTATTTTAAGGTGTGTTACTTTTGTTTATGTTGCATTTGTTTAACTCTGTGAAGCTGTGTTACTTTGTCTAAAACACCTGATGGCCTAATAAAGAGCTAAATGGCCAATAGCAAGGCAGGAGAAAGGATAGGCGGGGCTGGCAGGCAGATGGAATAAATAGAAGGAGAAACCTGGGAGAAAAGAAGAGCAAGAGGGATCAAGGAGGAGGACATCAGGGGCCAGCCACAGAGTAAGAGTGGAAATAAGATATATAGAAGTAAGAAAAGGAAAAAGCCCAGAGGCAAAAGGTAGATGGGATAATTTAAAGTTAAGAAAAGCTGGCAAGAAACAAGCTAAGGCCAGGCATTTATAATTAAGAATAAGCCTCCATGTGTGATTTATTGAGAGCTGGGTGGTGAACCCCCCAAAAGAGCCAAACAGCAAAAGAATAAAAACACCACCACCACCACTGGGGTTCTGTAAGAACACTCCTTGATGGCAGATGAACAGGGTACCAGCAGATTGCGACGTGGGCCCTCAAGTGTTGCTTGCAACGGAGAGGTTGGGTGAGAGCTGAAGAGAAATATGACTCAAAAAAGGAAGCTGCATTGGTCCGAGCATGCTTGCACTCAGAACTCCAGCAGCAGCTGAAGGGCTGTAGGGATCATACCCTTCCTTCCTCTTTCTTCAGTTCAGGGGTCTATGGGCCAGCCTTTCCTACTACTTCCAACTCATGCCCAGCCTTCAGGAATCGACTGGAGTGTGTTCGCTCTCCCTTAACGGCGTTGCCATGATCCACTCTTGTCTCGGGCTAACAGGCTGGAGACCCTGTCAGTGGCTGCAAGTCTCAATGACAGCTAACAAGTGCGCCTCTTCAGACAGAGTCAAAGTTGAGAACAGTTTGGCTGAAGGGGTGTAATCCTTCTCTAGAGGCTTCATGCTTGAGGTGTGTGTGGGGGGCTCATGGGAAGGGAGGGCATTGGGCTGTGCGTGGAGCCTACGCAAAGGAGCAGAGGGTGAGTCCCGGTGCTTGCATTAGGCACAGGGGGTGGGGCTGGGCAGGCAGAGCAGTAGGGGTGGAGCGGGCAGGTCAGAGGGCCTGGAGGCTTCTTGGGGGCTCAGATCATCTCGTCCTAAAGGCTCTGGTGGGTCACTAACGGACCTAGGAGGTGTGTGTGTGTGTGTGTGTGTGTGTGTGTGTGTGTGTGTTGAGGGTGGCACAGAAGTCAACACCCAGAAGGGCCCTGAAAGGAGAGCAAACACACTCCCTTCTTTGACCAGCGCCAGCCCTTCGCCTGGGGCAGCCCTCCAGATCCATTTTGTCACTGGACTTCCTCCTACCGGCTCCCACTGGCCCTCGGTGGTGCGCCACCATCTTGTTTTACATGTACTTATTTGTGTGTGTGCACATGGAGGGTCAAGGTCAACTTGCAGGAGTTGGTTCTCTTCTACCACATGGATCCCACAGCCTGAACTCAGGTCACTAGGCTTGCTAACAAACCTGACACCTTCTCATAAAGTTACATTTTTGGAATTTTCCTTGATTTATTTATTTTGAAATAGGATGGCTCACATAGCCCAGGCTGTCCTCGAACTCCCGATCCCCTTGTCCCCACCTCCCAAGTGGCTGCGCTTTACACATATGCCGCTATGCTCGCCTGGAATTTGCTTTTAGAAAGGTTTTTGGATTCGGTGGGTTTGGATTCTTTCACATGGAAGAGAGGACATAGTCAAAATGTTTCCACCCCATCCTCCATCAACTGGATCTCCAGCTCCAGGCAGGGTAGGGAGAGAATGAAGGGGCAGAGGCCACAGCACCTAGGAGACCAGGCAGCCCAGGAAGTGGGTGCACAGGCTGTCACTCTTGGCTTCTGTCCCTAAATGCTTTTCCAATCCCTGCTGGTGATTAAGCTGGAGCCTCCCACCCCCACCATTTGCATTTCTAATTGAGGATTCCACGTCCACCATGATGACCTGCCTGCCTCCTTTCTGTAGACACTCACCAAAGCTCCTCGTTTTCTGATACCCTCCACTCTGGTTTCAATATGATTATGAGTTTTCTTTTGTGTCTTTCCTGTCAGCTCACTGTGATTTTGTGAGATGAGATAACTAGGTGAGACACACACGCCAATGTGGAATTAGTTACTGATTTCTTTAGAGACAGTGTCTTACAGTGCAGGCTAGCCTGGGCTCACCTTTCACTTCTTCCTCCTGCTCCTGAGTGCAGGAGTTACATGTGCGTGACACCACTCCTGCTTTATGAGGTGTTGGGCTTCATGATGCTGGGTAAGCACCCAACCAGTGGCGCTGCCTTCCAGTGCCGGGATTACAGATCTGCACTACCATAGCTGGTTGAAATGGAGATTTTTTTTTTAATTTTTAAAACTATTTTATTTTAATTTTATGTGTATGTGTGCTTTGTCTGCATGCATGTCTGTGCACTGCGTGCGTGCCTGATGCCTGCCAACTCTAGGAGAGGTTGTTGGATCCCCTAGGACTGAGATTGTGAGCTTCCATGTGGGTGCTGGGAATCGAACCTGGGTCCTCTGCAGAAGCAGTCAGTGCTCTCAACTGCTGAGTCATCTCTCCAGCCCCTCAAGTGTAGAATTTAAATCAGGAATTTCGTGATGATAGATCTTCATTTTAAAGCCACTCTGATGGACAGCTGGATGGACTGGAAGGGACAAGATTATGTAGGAAAGCCAGGTGTCATCCAGGCAAGGAAGAAAGGAAGTGTGATTGTGGCAGAGGCCATGGAGATGGCCTATTTGAGATAAGTGACATCTGAACGTTTGTACCTGGAGGGAAGGCTGCTGTCTGCCTGACATTACCCAGGAGCCTGACAGTTTGAAAAGGGAGGTCCCAAGTTAAGCCAACCAGGAGACCTGGACAGTAAAGAGCCTGAAGCCAGAGATGGACCCAGATCCAGTTAGTGACCCAGGTTGGCAGTAGGCAGAATGGGAATGTGGCGCTGTCACCGTAGATTGGGGAGCCATTTAGAAGGACTGGTAGATCTAGTGGGCAATGTTAAGTGGTGTGCCTGTAGCTGAAGATGGGAATCCAGGAGACGGGTTCAAAGGGGCTTGGTGACATGGGCAGATGGTGGTGGTCGGAGTAAGCCCGGGCCAACTCCCAGGTTTCTGGGCACCAGTGTGGTCTGCTCTGAAAATTAGGGGGTAGGCGGAAGTGTTGGGGAGCTCGTGGCCCAGGTGTGTTCCAGGCCTAGGTTGGATCTGCAGGCCTAGGTTGGATCTGCAGGCTAGGAAGTATAGTTGGGTGTGAACCGTGGAGAAGTTGGTGCGCACTGGTCCTTCACTGTTGGGGTGCAGCCCCTCCTGCTTGTTGGAGCCCAGCACTGCCCTGTCTCCTACCATATGGAGGTTCTTGCTCGACACCCCTTCCTTGTATCTGCCAATGTCCCTTCTTTGGTTTGCATCTTCAGGCCCACCAGCCACAGACTTCCCAAAGTGACTCTCTGCAGATGACATCTGTTTGCACTGTGGATTTCCACACCGTAGCTGAATCTGGCCCTGCTCACTCTGCCCTGGAGCCTTGTGTCTGCTCAGCGCTCTGTCTCCCATGCCCCTCCCTGTGTTTCTGCCCTGGCTTCCAGGACCCCTCACCTCTTGGAACTTAACGTGCTGAGGCCTCTGCGCATGTGTTCCCTGCTGGAATGTCACACCACTTCCCTGCCGATTCTTCCTCACTGTGTCTCCTACAGTGACCGTCTCCTGTGAGTCCCCAGGGTTTCTTGGCCTCTCTCTGCAACTCTGCAGCTACTTTCTTTGCTGTTTGTAGCTTGTTAAGCTGTCGGCTAGTCTGTGGGTGGACTGGCTTGTTGCCAGTAGCTCAGGATTCTATATGGAATGTCCTGAGAGGTTTATGGGAGAAGCTGAGGGAATTGAGTGATGGGGACTGACTGATGCTGTTCCAGGAAACTGAGTCTCTCCTCTCTTTGGCATTTCCAGAAGTCATTAGCAATCTAGCCTGGCTCATTAACTGGATCTGGGTCCATCTCTAGCTTCGGGCTCTTTACTGTCCAGGTCTTCCGGTTGACCGTGTGGCTTTATCTGGGACCTCTCTTTTCAGACGCAGGCTCCTGGGTGATATCTACTGTGAAATAATCTTTCTATACACTGTGAAAATGTTTTGCTCTCATTTTTAATAAAGAGCTGATTGGCCAATAGCTAGGCAGGATTTTCAGGGCAGAGAGAATGCTGGGAAGAAGAAGGGCAGAGTCCTGGGAGATGCAGAGGGAAGCAAGATGAACGTGCTGTGTTGAAAGAAGGCACCACCACATGGCAGAGGGTAGATAAGAAATATGGGTTAATTTAAAATGTAAGAGTGAGCTAGTAACAAGCCTGAGCCATTGACTGAGCATTTATAATTAATAATAACTCTGAGTGGTTATTTGGGAGTGGCTACTGAGACAGAGAAACTCCATCTACAGACATCAGCCTTCCCTCCAGGCACAGATGTTCAGATGTTGCTCACCTCAAATATGCCAGTTGTCTTAGTTTGCTTTCTATTGCTGGAACAAGAACTGTGGCCCAAACCAACCCGAGGAGGAAAGGGTTTCCTTCTGTCTCCTTCCTCCCTCCCTCCCTCCCTCCCTCCCTCCCTTCCTTTTCCTCCTTCTTTCCTTTCTTTTCCTTTCCTTTCATTTTCTTTCTTTCTTTTATTTTTTCCAGACAGGGTTTCTCTGTATAGCCAGGAAAAGGTTTAGTCATCTCCCAGCCTATATACAGCCCATCACTGAGGGAAGCCAGGAGAGGACCTGGAGGCAGGAACTGAAGCAGAGACCATGGAGGAACACTGCTTACTGGCTTGCTCAGCCTTGCTTTCTTATATACCCAGGACCACCTACCTAGGGGTGGCACCATCCACATTGGTCTGACCCTCCCATATCTATCGTTGATCAAGAAAACGCCCCACAGACTTGCCTACAGGCCAATATGTTGGAGGCATTTTCTCAATTGAGGTTTCCTCTTTCCAGATGACTCTAGCTTGTGTCAAGTTGACAAAAAAACAAAAAACAAAACCCCAAAAAACCAAAACAACACAACACACAGATATGTATGTATGCTCTATGTATGTGTATAACACACACACACACACACACACACACACACACACACACACACACACACCAGCAGTCTCTGGTTTCAGAAAAGAGTTGTTCTTAATCAATGTAAGTTACCATTTACCCCCTTGTCACAGACCCCAAGTGCAGCTACAAGTGGATGTCAAGTCCACTTATGTGGTCAAGATGGTGGTGTTCCGGTCTCTTTTTATAAGCCAGGTTCTTTGGCATTTGTTTCTGGGTACAGTGCTGGCTGTGGATGGAATAGGGAACAGGCTCGTCTCTACTGTTGAGGAGCCTGTTCAGTTGGGAGGGACAGAGAATGTCCAGTGACATGTGGGTACCTGGGGGGTGGTGATCTGGGCAATACCGGGGTGCCAAGGAACACAGTGGTGTACTTCAGTGTGACTTTCTCTGCTTCCATGTAAACCCCTGTCCTGTAAATTAATTCATTGGTGACGGTGAGTGGGAGCAGGATGTTTGCTCCGTACATGACTATGCCTGGGCAGAGCGGGGGACGGGGGTGTGTGGGGGTACACTTTTCCACAGGAAAGGAAAAGGCTTGAATGCCTGCAGGAGGGGCCCAGTGGGCTTTCAGGGATGATGAGGATACAAATTGCTTGTGCCTGGCACCCCTTCCTTGGAAAGCTGCACCCCACCTTGTACACCCCAGCCCGCTTCCATGCCCAGCACAGCTACAGTGCCCTGGTTCTGAGCTCCTCTTCCAGATGTACCATATCTCTCTGATAAATGTTTGGCTGGGATCCCCAGTCAACCTTTTGATGTTTTTAAAATATGTACTCTGGCAGCTGCTAGGCCCGCTGGACTATGGGCACAGTTGGCCCTAATAGTTTTGAGAGTACTCTGGCTACAAAATTGTGGTCTGAGTGGTATGCCCTAACCCATTTTTCACCTCTGTCCTGTTTGTGTGTGTGTGTAGATTAAGAGAACGGAAGCTTTCTAAGTATGTATGTACTTAGCAGCAAGCTTGATGGCACACATCTTATTTCCAGCATGCATTCAGGAGGTTGAGGCAAAAAAACAAAAAAACCAACCAACCAACCAACAACAAACCTCCAAAAAACAAACAAACAAACAAACAAACAAACAAACCCTAGGTTTGAGGCTGACCTGAGAATTCCAGGACAGCCTGGACAAAATGAAATTCTGTCTCAAAAAACAAAAAGCTATTTACTGTCTTCCAACAGAAATGTCTGTTATTTACTGGAGAGTGGCGCTTGTGGGCAAGACTATGAAGAGCGAGCCCTCAACAGCTCAGAAGCAGTGATGGTCTCAGCATGTATTCACTTAGCAGTGTGCATTTAGGAAGTGCTCTGTGTCAGGGCTCGGGATGGAACATGGGGCCCCATTTATGTAGGTGCCTGCTGAGTCCCATCCTAGCTCCCCGGCCCTGTAAGTCTGTGGTGTAAATAACAGCTGCAGCTGGGAGGTGGGGTCCAGAGCCACAGTTTAGGAGAGGGCTCAGGCTGCACTGGCCAGACTATGTCACTGTCCAGGGCCTCGGAACAGGAGGCCTCCTGAGAGCTGGAAGGTGGTCTGGTTTGAGCTGCAGAACCCTGTTCTGGTAGGTCAGCACTTGTTACCCAGCCCTTGGCCAGTCCCTCGGTCCCTTCCTTATGTAATCAGCAGTCACACTGCTTATTGTTGAGTCTTCTGTGTGACTGTGTCTCCAATCCCCTTAGCTAATGAGCTTTATAAGGAGGATCTGGACACAGTTACAACCATTTGCCAGAGTCTGCTTTCCCAGGACATCCCTTTAATGTGGACTACACAGGCTGGACTTGTTCCTGCCTTGATTGGAATGAGGCTGCCTGCATTTACTCCTCACTGCCTGTCCCCCGTCTGTCATGTTCTTGGGGTAGGCGTCCTGGTCTCACCACCGCGTTTGGTGCCCTCCATGGCAGAACACAGATTGGCACAGGACCAGGGAATGGAAGGATGTGGCCTCTCGGGAATATTTTGTGAACATGGCCACAAACACGTACTCAAGGATTTTCTAAGGACCCTTTGTGCACAGGGAACCAAGTGTAGCTCCTGCTGCAAATAATGGGGGCTGGGGAGAGAACGGAACACAAACAGAGGGGACCGAAACTTTGAGGTGTTAGGGTCCCCAGGGGTCAGCCCTTCCAGTGTCCATCCAGCACAGGGACACCTGCCTTTTCTCTTCCCTGCACTTAGGTCCAGGTGCATGTCTGTGAAGGCTGAGGTTTGCTGTCATGGGGCTGGTTGTGCCTCTAAGTGAAGAGGCTGCAGCTCTCTTGCCCTAAGGCAGTGGTTCCCAACCTTCCTATGGCTGCGACCCTTTAATACAGTTCCTCATGTGGTGGGGACCCCAACCATAAAGTTCTTTTCATTGCTACATCATAGCTGTAATTTTGCTACTGTTATGAATTGCAGCATAAATATCTGTTTTCCAGTAGTCTTAGGTGACCTCTGTGAAAGGGTCATTCAGCCTTGGGGGTCACAACTTACAGGTTGAGAACCACCGCCCTAGAGAGTGGTGGAGGCCCTTCAAGTCCTGATCCTCCTGATTCCTGGCTGCTGCTTGCAGAACAGAGGCTCCAGGACTTGGCAAGCAGCTCTTGTGCCTGGGGGAGGAAACTGATGCATGGCTGATGCATGGCTGGGCGACAGAAGAAGGGGAACTGGGATTCGTGATAGGAGCATGGGAGGGCTGGGGTCCTAGACAGAAAATAACCACTTTGGGCAATGTTGGCCATCAATCCCATGGGCTTTGTGTTGATGCGATCTAGTGGCAGTGGGCAAATAGTTTAAGCCCCGAGCCTTGTTTTTCATAGTGACAGCCCCTCCCCACGAGACTTGGTTAGTGGGGTATGTGAGTTTCAGGGTCAGTGTGCCCAAAGAGAAGGGAGGGGCTTGCGCACTGCTACTGGGATTTGTTTGGAGGGGAGTATGCAGACACTTGTCCCAAATCCGGTGTCTGTCATACTCTGGCTCCCTGGGTCTGTCGTTCTTAGACACTTGACGACTCACTCACCCAGCTCGAGTGTTCCAGTCTGTCCTTCACTTCCTCAGAGTTCCTCTCCTTCCTTCTCAGCTCCCACTTCCGTGGTCCCAGCCTGCGCCTTGTCAAATACGAAGTGGTACCACCATTAAGATCCAAAAGCCACTTTACTGTTTGCCTGGCAAGCTCTCCTCATCTCTCCCTGAGGTGACAAGTCCTGTGTCCTAGCTGCCTCTCCCTTCCTCAGCTTTGTGAAGTGACAGTTCTCAAGAAGATACAGCCCCATGTGACCACCACCCAGGCTTTGTTCTTAAACCAGCCTTTTTGCCCTTTCTTCTGCCACGACTCAGGCAGCATCCCTTCACACAGGCCCTGCATCCTTCTGCTTCCTCAGCCTTTCTTTCTTTTGGGGGAGGGAGGCTGGGGATAGCCTCGAACTCCTGATCTTCCTGCCCCACCTTCCAAGAGCTAGGATTGCAGGCATGCTGCCACACCCCGCAGCCTGCCCGTTCCTTCTGCAGCTTCTCTCTAGATCACCGTCATCAGTTAACTAACATCCTCTTCCCATGACCTTCATCTCTGCACTTCTAGCCCTTAATCATGTTTCAGTGAATGTTAGGATACTGGGGAAAACCCCTGAAAACCATGCATCATCCCTGATTCTTCACCATCTTCCATCTAATCCATCTTCAAGGCCTGTTGGTTCTTTTTCCAGTATCCGTTGCATCATCTGGGCTGAAATCCTGGACCCAGAGCTGTAGAGTTTTCTTGAATTTTGAAATAGTTTTCTAGCTGCTCTCTGTCTCCTTTTGCACTCCTAAAACGCAGTTGCTGTGGCCAGGTGCTTACTGCAACATGAACAGTACCACTACTTGCAAGTCTTCCACGGCCCCTCGCCCGTAAGCTGGCACTGTCTGAAAGCCCAGGTGAGTGCCATTTGCCTGGAATCTTCTCACTGTTCGGCTTTCTCCTCCCTCTCATCCATAAGCTTCCACTGCAAGGTCTTCCATGATGTCCTGTACCGAGGCTCTCCTTGTTTGTACCTGACCAGTCACTGACCAGAGAATGGAAGTGCTAGGATGTGCTTACCTCACATAGTCAGTGCACCTTGCAAGGCTGGCCTGTGTTCAGCTGAACTAAATTAACATGGCTGAGTCAAGGGCAGAGCTGTGGTACAGGCAGGCTTCCTCACGGACAGGATCCAGAGTGCCTAGCTTTGTGGAGGCATTCTGTTACCCTGCAGAGACTAGTTGTGCTGTTGACATGGCTGGTGAGGCGCTGGCAAGGAGAAACATTTTTAAAAAGGTTTCATCACTGGCCAAGAAAAATGCAGCGAGCGGCTGAGCTCAGCAGGCCACCCTGCAGTAAAGGCCCAGCAACTGAGCTGCCCACGGCTGAGAGGAGGCTGCAGAGACGAGCTGTCATGCATGAAGCAGGTCTCAGTTGGCTTCGTCTGCAGACTGTACTTGTCCTGCCTGCTCGGGCCACAGCATCGAGTGTTCTAGAACACAGGTGCTGCAGAGCTACTGCTAGCAGGTAGTGCATGGGGGTGTTTTCATAATGGCTGTGCTTTAGAACTGACTATGGCTGGACTGTGGAGGCGCACACCTTTAATCCCAGAACTTGGGAGGCAGAGACAAGTGGAATTCTGAACTTGGGGTCAGCATGGTCACAGAGTGAGTTCCAGGACAGCCAGGGCTACACAGAGAAACCCTGTCTCGAAAAACCAACACCAAACTAAGACAAACAAAAAACAAACAAAAGGACTGACTATATGCTGGGCACCATACTAGGTCCTGGGATACCAATTCAACAAGATATGGTCTGTCCTTAGTGGATGTCATTCTAGTTGAGGGGAAATATACCTAACAGACTAAGGACCAGCTATTACTGTTGGTGCCCCAAGTCTCAGCCACTCTCGTGCCAGTGGCTCTCTCCAGATGAACCATTAGCAGAGCTGCTGTTCTAGTCTGCAGAGAAGTCAGCAGAAGGCATTTTCCTTTTGTGGGTAAGATTTTGCCTTGTGGCCTCAGCCTCCTGATTGGAGGACCATCAGTGTGCACCCATCACAACCAGGTCTAAAGCAAACTTCTGGTGTTGAGAGAAGTGACTGTTGTCCAAAGCCACAGATCCTGAGTCCAAAGGACCTGAGTGCAGGGGGCTCCTTGGACCCTTGTTAACGTTGTCAGCTTGTGAGTCTCCTCACTGTTTGTTACATCTCCCCTTATGATGTCGGTCCTTTAACATTAGAGCATGGACATGTCTGTTCACTGATGTATCTCAACTGCTCGAAGAGCACCTTACAGAAACCTAAATTAGCCAGTACTGAGCCTATTAAAAAGGGCCTCTAAGACATCTGGACCGGCCGGGTGGTGGTGGCACACACCTTTAATCCCAGCACTCGGGAGGCAGAGCCAGGCGGATCTCTGTGAGTTCGAGGCCAGCCTGGGCTACCAAGTGAGTTCCAGGAAAGGCGCAAAGCTACACAGAGAAACATCTGGACCTTTGTCACTGGCTGTCCATCACTAAAAAGAAACAAGTACTGGGTCAAGAATGAGGATTTTTGTTGTTTTTTTGTTTTGTTTTTTCAGGACAGGGTTTCTCTGTGTAGCTTTGCGCCTTTCCTGGAACTCACTCTGTAGCCCAGGCTGGCCTCGAACTCACAGAGATCCGCCTGCCCCTGCCTCCCGAGTGCGGGGATAAAGGTATGTGCTGTGTCTGGCTGAGAATGACAGTCTTACTGTGCTGTTGCAGCAAAGCTGCCCACACCTGCTCCTGACTCTCTGCTAAGTGACGGCCATGGTGCCCCCGAGGGCGAACCTTCAAGGCTGGGAAAGCTGAAGGGCCATGGGACACCAGCAAGGCAGACCTTTGGGCTCTGGTTAAGGAATACTGTAACATGACCAATAACGATGATATTCTCTTGAACAGGTATAAAAGTTTGGTCACTGGGACCCGAGCAAGAGGGATCATTGCTGTCCTCTGGGTCCTTGCCTTTGGCATTGGATTGACTCCGTTCCTGGGTTGGAATAGTAAAGACAGTGTCACCAGCAACTGCACAGAACTTGGAGATGGAACCATGAATAAGAGCTGCTGTCCTGTGAGGTGTCTCTTTGAGAATGTGGTCCCCATGAGCTACATGGTGTATTTCAATTTCTTCGGGTGTGTCCTTCCTCCACTGCTCATAATGTTGGTGATCTACATCAAAATCTTCATGGTGGCCTGTGAGCAGCTTCAGCGCATGGAACCGATGGACCACTCCAGGACCACTCTGCAGCGAGAGATCCATGCCGCCAAGTCACTGGCTATGATTGTAGGCATTTTCGCGCTGTGCTGGCTGCCAGTGCATGCCATCAACTGTGTTACTCTTTTCCATCCAGCTCTTGCCAGCGCTAAGCCCAAGTGGATGATGAATGTTGCCATCCTCCTGTCACATGCCAACTCAGTTGTCAATCCCATTGTATATGCCTACAGGAACCGAGACTTCCGCCACACTTTCCACAGAATCATCTCCAGTTACGTTCTCTGCCAGACAGATACCAAAGGTGGGAGTGGGCAGGCCGGGGCACAGTCTGCTCTTAGTCTGGGCTTATGACCCAGGCTCTGGCCTTTTGGAGAAGAAGGCTTAAAATAAACAACGGGACTCAACACAACTGGCTGGTTCTCACTGTGAAAGACAGCTCCACCTCCCAAGCAGATGAGTTGCTTCTTCTGAGTACTTACCTGGAGTTACCCAAGTCTAGCTAAGATGCATATGCAATCGGTAGCCTCCAAGGTTAACAAATACATGTGTGGATCTACTCAGCTGCTCTGCTGTGTGGGTGATGGCAGTGGTCTGAATTGATTCCCAAAGACATTTTTATTTCTAAGAATCTGCCTCATTCATGGTAGAAAAATGACTGAAGCTTACCTTACTGTGAAACATTGTGAACTATTAAATAAAAGTATTTTTCACTTATAGCAATGGGACAAAAAGTTGGCTATACTAAAGTTTATATACTAATGTATACTTGTTCCCAGGACAGCAACCCAGAAAACTAAAGTATAATTCAGGTATTTATGTATTAACTTAGGGAATGATATTCTCCTAAGTTTTGAAGTAGAATTGTAATTAAAAAAAAAAATTTAAGTTCAGTATTTTCCATGTACACAAAACACTAGAGGTGGAAACTGGAGAAATGGGGTCCCTCCTGGACTGGAATCCTGCTCTAGACCTAGGTACTGGGGTTGCTTCTCTCCCAAGTTCAAATTTATTGGCGCCCACAGTGTGAAAATTTTACTAAGCAAAAACATCTGTCTATTATAGTCAGTGAAAACATCTGTCTATTATAGTCAGTGAAATACAACTGTAGAAAGCACGGTCACGGTGCTGCACTGGCTTGCTGTACTTAATAAATATACTGTCTGCACCTTACCGTGAAGGCCGCTTAAAGAGGCTCATATGGGCCGGGCGGTGGTGATGCATGCCTTTAATCCCAGCACTCGGGAGGCAGAGGCAGGTGGATCTCTGTGAGTTTGAGGCCAGCCTGGTCTACAGAGTGAGTTCCAGGAAAGGTGCAAAGCTACACAGA